GAGACTCGCAGCCACATTATTATCACAATCTGTCAATAAAACAAGTCGGATGAACTGATCAAAAGGTTAAAATTTTAAATAGTTGCTAAGCGAATTAGAACGTTTCTACCGGTAGCGTTCCCTCAGTGTTACAGTAACGGGTTCAGTTCTCCATCTGTTGGAGCTCGTGCATCATTAATATCTCATTTTATATTTAATTATCATGCTTGGCTCTGATTTTAACACTTTAAATTTCCTTTGTATCCTCTGATTTGACCTCGTGTTTTATTCTGTAGTAACATGATTTAAAGGACCTTTGGAGAAAATGAAACTAAATTTAGTGCAAACTCAAAACGGATTTTGGGATTTATTTATGTGAGAGTCACAACTTCAGCCACATTAATGCTGCATTTTATTCTGCTTCGTTCTGGAAATAAGGCGCTATTATGAATTTACAAGCGGTTGACTGTTCCAAGTTGACAGGTGGTTAAGTTTCATGTGTTTATTAGAACGTGGAATGAATAAAATAAGAGACTGAGCCTGCAGGTGGCAACATGTACTCCTGAACTGCTGGCAGGGAACCCGAGCAGAAACAGCATCTTGTATCGTAGATGTTCCTGCTAAGAGTTTGAGTCCAGTTCGGTGACGTTTCACATGGACGTTTAGTACTTTTCATGAGTTTTCAGTATTAGATCAGAGCAAAGGTGTGGACGTTAAATCATTCAGTTGTGTGGATAACATCCAAAGTCAAATGCCACAAAGTTTCCCCGAGTCCAGAGAGCTCTCCGGACACGTTGACTCTGCAAGTCTGTAGACCGGCCCCGCCCTCAGGCTTCACTGGGCTGCAGCTAAACGGGCCAGCAGCCACACTTTGTCGTTAAATATTATCCAGATGACACAGAGGCTGTTTGGAAAGCTCCTCCCTCTTCAAAGTGCAGCTGCTGCCATGAAATCGTCACAGTTCGTCAGAGGTCCTCGCTGAACGTCGCGTGTCCAGGAAGACTCAGGACACCACAGGAGTCATGTCCCAGAGCTGCAGAGAAACACAAAGTTGGTTTAAACTAACCGCTCAGGAGAGTCTCTGGAGACAAACTGGTTTAGGATATTTTGAGACGAGTGTTTTTCTGGACAGGAATTAAACAATGAATGCAAGAAAACCTTAATGTTTCTGGAGCAAGAAATTATGTAGAGCCCGATTGATATGGAAATTTTGTCTATCGGCAAAACCATTATCGGGAGGGTCATGCAGCTGCCGATAACCAATACAATGTCTGGAACTTTTTGAGCTTTGTCCACCCCCAAGAATCTAAAAAAAACCAGTGAGTGGAGCAGGGCTTGTTAATTTAGCGCAACTGTTAGCAACCATGAAGCTAAGCTAATCAGCTCCATGCTATACGTAGTCCCACAGTAGGTTTACAAGTGGAGCACTGGTCATAAAAACACTTTTTCTATTCTCCACTATTCACCTGTTCAGTAAAATACGCTACACAGTTTTGCTCCCTGCCTCGGCTGTGCTGAAAGTGAAACCTAAGTGAACGTCTATGACTTGAAAGTAGTCTTCATGCGCCCTCTGCTGGATACTTTGTACAATTATGGCTGGTTCCAGCATCATAGGGGTGGAAATTAGAAGTGTTTATATCAGCTCATAATGGAACAATTATCACCGATACTGATATTTCTCCAAACATCTATATCAGCCTAAATTATCGGCCCTACTGATATATCGATCGGGCTCTAAAATTAACACTTTAATTTTAAAAAAAATCCAAAAACGAATGGGTGATCTCTCTCTATTGGACATGGTTCATGGGTAAAAGTTAGTTTTTGTTTTGTCCTGAGCTGGACATCGAGGATATGATGACTATCACCATGCAGTTTGGGACTGAATCAACGTTTTGCACATTTTTCCATCCTATATTCACAGTTTCATGAGCGACTGAGAACTCCATCTCTGTCTGAGAAAACGGAGCCCATTTCTGCAGACCTTGATGGCCTTGTCGGTGCCAGAGGTGAGCAGGTTTCCAGTGGTGGGCTCGTAGTGCATGTACACAATGTTGTGCTTGCTGTCGTGGAAGGTGGCTGTGGGCGCTCGGCTGAAGGACACAAAGAGTGCGACGGTGAGAAGCCGAAAGCACAAAGAGTCAGTGTGCGTCCCCAACAGAGGCAGATTGTTACTCACTCCTCGTCGGTGATGGACTCGTGGCAGCTGTCGCACACGCGCACCTCAAACTCGAAGCCCATGAGGGGGATGGTGGAGCGTTTGGACGAACACTTGCCGCACACGGCCTGGCCGCACTTCCTGCAGTGGTGCTGAGTCAAACACAACATTGTCAACGTAACAGCTGTCGTGAGCAACACGTGCACTTGTTTCCAGCTTTACAAACAGATCAACTGTCTTGAGTCATCCTTCCTTTTAATGCTTTGCTTCTAAACAAGCTTCTATT